CAAAAAAAACAATGAAAAAAATTAAGACAAAGGCATGTACAAGTAAACGAACAAACGAGGTATATTTTTAAAAACAGAAACATTTAAATGATGTGCTAAAATATATATGTTGATGGTTGGAAAAATGACAGTCAAATAAATTGTAAAACATGAGGTAGTTCTCTTTTTTTAAATGAATTGGTGCATTTTATTTATTTATTGGGCCATTTATACATTTCTGCTTTTAATTATGTCAGTTTTGGTTCTCCATACATTTTGCAGTTTGACCTTGAAAAATATTGAACTATTTTCCTTTTCAGCAAATTACTCACCTGTTGTTGTCCTCTGCTGAAGGTGRAAAACTGATGTTTTAGYTYRTGTTTGTCTGTTAGCAAATATCTCATCATGACCCATCAGACTAATTTGATCAAAAATCACAAGAATTAATTATTGAATGAATGACAAACTTTAGGAGCCAACCCAAGTCAAGATGGCTGCTAGTTTACTGACTTTAAAATGCACAAAAAATGTTTAATCAAGTCAATTTTACAGATATTGTACTAAAATTCGTCGCAGTAAACATCAGCACTTAATCTGAGAGCTCATTTATCTAATGATACTGAATTTGATTACATYATTTACAAGTTCTGATCAAAACTTCAGCTTTGTTTCTTCTCTGAAAAGCGGCGGGCAATATCCCTTTCTTCAGATACTAAGCCTTTAATTAGATGTGATTTGATCAGATTTTTTGTGTGCTTTTACCATTTTTTTAAACATTGTTTGCACCAAGAAAAAATGAGCGTATGTATGAAAAAGATGTTTCGTCCAAAGACTAATGTGTTATTTTTGTATCATGTTCAGTTTAAAATCATTTAATTTGAAAATCATTTTGTTTTACAAGGTATTCATTATTTGGAAACAAGGATGCATATGTTTTATTTAAAGTATTATTTCTGTGACAGAGCCTGTAAAAAGAAAACAACATTCAATATACAGTTACTAAAATCCTACGACTGAAAGTTTTTTTAAACTTAAGTCTACTTAAGTGCATAAAAGGACAAACTTGCCACATTTCAAATTTCCAAAATAACCTTTATTCTAAACTTACATTTTAAATTTTAAGTTTAGTATAAAAAAGTTAAGTGCACCTAAGTTCTTTTTTTTTCTCCAAAGTATTTCACCGTTGACACATCTCAGCAAACCGTAGTGACACTCATCTCCTTTAGTAATCTTAAAAGATAGAATGTGTACCAAAGTCCGTCACATCACTTTAGTACGTACATCCATTTTTTTCTTTTTCTTTTTTTACAAAATGTTGTAAAGAGAATCCCTGAACTTTAAATGTCCACAATCCTTCAACAAAGAGTGTTTCATTTGCTCGCTGTGGTTGGCGTAGCATCTACGGGTCAGCTGGAGGTTACACAACTTCATAATGCAGGAATGAAGTCACCATTTTATATTGATTTACAATCAGGAAATAAAACAAAAACAACAGAAGTCTGGAAGTTTTAACAGCTGTGGCCTGTGTGGAATGCAAACTGAAGAGTTCTGGAAAAACAAAAACTACAAAACACCCAACGATGATGCGGCAGCTTCTTTGTTCGAGCGGCACGCCATCAGATAAATGAAGCCGGTTTGAGATTAAAATACTGAAATCGTCAGATTAACAGTAACAGCCTGTCTTCTGGAAGCCACAGCTATTAAAAGTTGAATGTGTACGTCGGATACCCAGCAACACTTTCACCATGACAAACAGATATTAGACGAGAACATCCATACTGATAACTTMTCTAGCCTCAAATGCTTCATTTAGGTTCGCCAGATACAGCATCATGGAAAGACTCCAGAGCACAAAAACTGACTTGTTTATGAACCTGCAGCCTCGTTGCAAAAGGTTTTGCATACACTTTCAGGCTGGTTAACATCTTTACATTATTTAGAAATGGTACAATGTATTTCAAAAACTAAAAACGCTCAACAAAAAGTCACAGCCTTTTTTCAAAAGTCATAAAAACAGGATGTAAAAAAAAAAAGAGACTCTCGTCTGTGGCCCCCTCGGTTTTGCTCAGCAGTGCATTTCAGAATAAAACATAAAAAAAAAAAGGTGCAAAAGTGTGCAGCGACTCAGACGCAAGTGACCCACGCAGAGCGACGCCGACACGGCGATGATTGCAGTCGCGGCAGACCGACGGAGCCAGCTGTGTCCCGGCGTCGTCTTCGAGGACGTGCTGGATTTGAAAAGTGGAAAATTTGACGCCACCGGCTGAACAGATCTTTGGTACAACCAGCTCATTGGTTATACTATCAAATTAGGCTAACTACTTGTGTAAATCACTTGAATGTTGACACACACACACAYATACAAAAACAAACCACGTCAAAGAAATTTAATAAATTCTCTTCAAAAGAAAAACATTTTCAAACAGAATGAGTACTGTAATGTGACTGAAGCTAAATTATACAAAGTGAAATAAAAACAAACATTTAGTGATAATCTCTGGGTATCCGACTGTGAAACAGAATACAGAAGTTCAAATGTTACACCAACCACCTCCTAACGTTCATCTTCCTATTTGGATTTACTTAGAATTTCTTTCCTTTAAGTTTACTGAAGTGAATTTGCTTCGATTCAGGGCTATCCCCAGTGCTCTTTGGCACTTAACTATGTTCATCTACGAGTTGCCCAACAAGGTACAGTAAACCACTTAAGATATTGCATTAAATTTTTTTTAAGTTTTTGATTTAAATTGATTTATTTTACAACAGATTAAAATAGAACTATCGCTCAGACRGTTCACTGTGCAACAAATTTGATGCGGTATTTTTGATACTGTGCAAAAGACACGACAATTCTAGCTAAAAGCATCCAGGATGCCAATTTTTTTATTATTATTTTTTAATTCTTATACAGCTGAGATGTATCATCTCATGATCATCATACTGGTATTTACACAGAACTATTACACACCTATTATTTCAACTACACTAAAGATTAAAAAAAAAAGACAGGTGGAGATTTCTTTTTATTTGCGCTTTGACTGTAACTTTGTTGTTTTGCGTTTTACTTTCACTATAAAGCAGCTAAACTATATAATGCAGTCTGGTGTTTGACGGTTTCACCTACGTAAGTTTCACAAGAACATCTCGGTGTTGTTTTGCGACCGTTCCATCCAAGGAGAACGGGTCTCCTGAACAGAAACGGACGCCTGAAGGAAGTTCAAATCGGGGGGAAATGATCGGAGAGATTTGATCCAATGAAAAATCACTGACAGATTCTTACGTTTAAATTCTGCATTTTGATCTCCTCTCCAGGTGGCGACGGGTTTCTTTTGATCTCTAGGTCAGAAGTGGAGTACTGTACCTTTCACAAGGGCTCTAAAATATTACATTCCGTTAGGTGATATCAGTATTGTGGCATGGCCAAGCAGCCTGAAGAGGAAGGCGTATGGAGTAAGGGAGGAACTGGGGAGTTATCTGGGATGGGGGGGGTGGGCGGGAGTCACGGTTTAGGCATGAACAAGGAGGGGGATAGCTGCTGTTACCAGATGGTATACCCTCCACTGGATCCACCCAGGAAGAAGTTGTTCTTGCGCTGCGTCATGACAACGTTGGCACCCTGCATGGCAGCCAGTTGAGCTGCGTTAGGGGGGTGTCCAGGAGGTGGGGGCTAAAGAAGGGGAGAGGCCAGTTCAGAGGTTGAACGTTTTAAAATAATAAATATAAAAGGGTTAAATGACTCACTGGGATGGAAACGCTGCTGCCGGCTGTGAAACGAGCACCAGCGTCAAAGCCACCGTCCACCATCACTGTCGATCCAGGCGGGTACACGGCTCCCATGGGATAGTAGGCCATGGGGACGTTCTGGCCCACCGGACCAACCGGCATGGGAGGCTGCATGGGCATATACACCTGAGCACCAGGGTAGGGGGAGGACATCTGAGGCACCTGACCAGGCACCTGAGGAAGCACATATCTGGGCTGGTATATCTGCAAACACACGGGAGGGAAACAACAAACAAGCAAAAATAAATAAGATTTTMTGAAAGGAACTTATTTTTTCTGTTGCTTTTTATGCAAGACTTTTAAATTAAWGTCGTGTTATGATAAGAAATAGGTGGTCGCTTTGGTCAACGATCTCATWATCTCCTGGGATGTGACACTCAGAACGTGCCGTCAGCTACACATCTGTTAAACTGGCTCAGTTACGTCAGTTAAAGGAGACCAATTATGGGTCCTAGAAATTTTATGGTATGTCTGTGGGCTATCCAGACCATRTTYRTTCAATTTAATGCACAAAATAATTCTCAGATAATAAAATTTCCCATTTTCTAGTTCTGCCTGCTCCGACTTCCGTTCAGAAGAGCTGTTTATGTTAATGAGCTCTGTTGGTAACGCCCTCCAAAAATCTGTTGACATTAACTCCGCCCTCCAAAGCCAGCATTTACGTTAGCATGGCTAATAATAGCAGAAGCTCCGGTGTACAACCATATGAGACCCTGTGAGACCCAGAGGCAGAGTCGTGGTCGCAGCTTCTTTTTTTTTCTCTCCCTCCTCTGCTCTGCGCTCACTCTGCATGCTGTTACCAGAGCAGGGAGCAGCAGCGGTCAAAATACCTCAGAAACTCGAACAAATAGACTTTAACAAGGTTTTAATAAGCTAAACAAGAGGTACATGAGAAAACGTGTTCATAACAAACGAAAATAAATTAATAATTAAATTGTGTCCGTGTCGGTCTCAAACCCTGGTCTCCCACTCTCTGGTCCAACACTCTTCCCATTGCCCTATTAGAGGCTTGTTGTGAAATGAGCCGCGCATTACACAACAACACGGTGACGGCTTTTTATACTGGGGAGGTGGAGTCTCACCCGGGGGTTGCTAGTTAAGGGCCTGAACGCAGGTTCTGTTGGGTTGTCGTACGGCTTGTGACATCACAAAATGACGGCAGTATAAAACTTGTCGTTAATATACATTAAAAATACATTTACTTACAGTAAATATGCCCCTGGGTGCATTTTTTTGGTCCTAGGACTGTTTTTTTAAGAAGTACATATCCAAAGTTGAGTAAAAAAACCTTTAAAAAGTGAATTTAGCATAATAGGTCCCCTTTAAAAGTTAGTCAACGTTGTTTAGCCGTGTTGGTCATTTTGCATCAGGTTGACTCCAACAGTTAACTGGGTGGACAAATAATAAAAACTGTACAGCGATGGTTATTTGAGAGCTACAGTTGCAACAGTTACCTCAGAATATGCAGGTGGTGTGTCTGAGTAAGGAGGTGCCTGAGGAGACATTTGCATAGCAGGAGGGTATACAGGTGCAGAGCTCTGCTGAGGGTACACAGCCTGCTGTGGATATGAACCTGCAACACAAGGTTTCAATTGAAAGCAAAAATACTTGTACTTTTGTTCTGACAGAAATCCCACAGAATAAACCCAGAGACCCGAGAGAGAAGTCAAAACAACACTGTCTCACTTACACACATAATGCATTATCTTCAGAAAGAATTAAACGTGTGCAGCAGAGACATTTAGCTAAATGTGTTCCACAACAACAGGAAGTGTGAATTATGGCTAATCAGAGTTCAAACTGTTCAGTTAGATGGTAAATAGTACGGGAACTCAAGGATTTATTTCACAGACACCACAAATGTATTTTCATGTAGATCAATTACTATTCTCGTAGGCAGTGAGATGTTGCAGGAGGACGAGTTAAAAATAAGTCAGAAAACACAAAACGTATCAGTTAATTGAGATAATTRCAACCCTGCTTATAGAAAACATTTATCTCAAATGTAGTAAGTAAACACCATTCACCTGTAAATGACATAATAGGTCAAAAAGACTGATTTCCTATTTTTGTTTTGCATTTAATTGCTCCTATTTGAAAGGTAAGGTTTGAATTCAGCCTAAAAAAAGGAAACTAGAAGAAAATAATAATGGAAATTTGCTTTTTTAAAGTTTCATCTAATCCTTCAAGTCATGTGTGATAGCTGTGACAAGTTCAGAGGATTAGTTAAAAACACAAATATAAGATTTTGAGAATATTTATTTTACAGGAAAGCTGGACAGGTGTTTTTTTAATTTATTTATTTTATTCCAGTCTTAATATTATTTCTGCTTAATTGTAGTATAACAACTGATTCAGTAAAAAGGCTACACTTGTGACTTCACTAAAAATGAAAGTATTATTTAAAGCAATCATGATATATTGTGTGTTCTGGTTGAACSGAAATGTGGTTAAATTTTAGTTCCACCTCGTCTTACCAGCATAAAAAACACAAGCCCTTAAGCTACGCACAGCACTTCACTAACATGTTAGCTTCCTATTTTCTTTCAAAACACATAAAATTACTAGGTTAGAAAATAATGATGCTAATTCTCATTTAAGTCATTAGCAATAAATCTGTCATAAAATGTGTAAAACGTAAAAAATACACTTTGTTATAGCGTTATATTACGATATATGTGCTCGAAAATAATAAAACAAAACCAAGAAGTACTTGGTCCAGAAATATAAATTCCAACATACTCGGCTGTCTGTGAGCCTACAACAAAAACATCCAGGGCTGCGTTAAAAATGACGTTAGCTGGCTAAAAATTGTGAGTATTTGTACAAGAATACAATGTGAAAGTATTTGTGACGGTTCGGTGTWAACACTATCCGAGACGCCTTGTTTCGGAGTGTGCGTCAGTTATTGTTGTGTTATGTACGTAGCTTCAGATGGCCACAGGCTTCTCCCGTCTTTACTCACAACATCGCTAAACGCACAGCTAGCTGACAAAACCTACGGGCCGTGAAAACGTACCTTTGTTATTCATTGTTGTGGACTGTTGTGGAGGCCAASGAACATCGGATTGAGCAGAACTCTTGTGTATCTTGTCTTGGCCTTGTTTCAGCTTACGGCTTGACACTTCCTTGTTTCTGAGCTTCTTGTTGTTGTGGAAGTGGTTACGTCACCCGCTCTTTATCTGCGGTCGGGCGCACGCTCAGTTCCAGCTCCGCGTGCGCGCGCCCCCTACTGGTAGAAATGAGTAAAAACAGTGCTGAAGAAGGAGGATAGTTGAACGTGTATTGTATTCCTTGTTCTGTCGTTGTGCTTGTAAACAAAGATCTTTTTCAATTAAAAAAAGAGAGTTCAACTCTGAGAGGAATACATAATTGCCTGCTTCAGAAACGCTAAAGCAAAGGGATAACGTGTCTGCCTGTGCCTTCATCTTAGCAATCATAACATAAACTTCATAAAATAAAATAAAAAAATCGGTGGACAGATAAAAAACTCTCAGACATCTATTATTTGATGAAGTGCATCTAATATCTAAAGAAGTCCCACACAGCAAAACATCTTTTTAGTTGAATTGTGCCATTTTTCCTGAAATATTTAAACAGGATTTAGTGTGGTAGTAGTTGAAAGTGATCTCCAACACATACTCTAACCCAGTGGTTCCCAAACTTTTTATCTTCTGACCCACAAAATATCCATGGCAAAAACTTGTGACCCCAAATATTACTGGTCTGCGTACACGAACTTTGTTAATAACCCTAAAAACACAGGCTTTTTGACAGTCTAAACAGCTTGTACACACATATAAATACTTATTTTTATCTATTTTGTATTTTTGTAATAATTATAAGGCAAATATTACATCAGCAATTATTTTATTACCCTTTAAATTGATTTCTGGAGATTATCCAAGGTGCTTCATGACCCATAATTGGGTCCCAAGCCCAACT